GGCAGCGGCGGTGGGGGAGGCGGCGGGCAGCGGCGGTGGGGGAGGCGGCGGGCAGCGGCGGCGGTGGTGGTGGCGGGTTTGGAGGCGGTGAAGACATGGTCGAACCCCGGGTACCTGATACCAAGGTGTTAGGAGCTAGGGTTTTGCCCGGTCTTGGCCGTAGGCAGTAGGGGAAGGAGGGGGCTGGGCGTGGCGATGAGCGGCCTCGCCGGCGGCTGGGCATCGCGGGAGAGGAAGATGGCGGCGGCAGCGCAAAAGGCAGTGGGGCGGCTAGGGTTCCGGCTCCTCTGGGAGCCGGACAATAAAGATAATCTTTCTATTGCTTTATTTCAAAGAGTCTTACAGCCTATATTTATAACCTAGATAACTTACATAAGAATTAACCTAAGATAATTTGCATAAGAATTAACCTAAGATAACTTGTGGGCTAAGATTGCCCGGTGGGCCTCTACGGCCGTAACAACCGCACTAAATGCAAGGGTATGTGGCGCTGCATCCCCTTACTGAGGCATACTCCCTCCTTTCCGGTTTATAAGGCTCAATTCAAAAATCTCACCAACCAAGGTAGATGGTGAGTGGTGGAATACCTTTTGAGTTTGCAAAAGCACCCAATTAATGTTTTTGTTTTCCTCAAAAAAGTATGTTTACCAATGCATCAATTGCAATGCATGCATGCAGTACATGCATTGATCAATTTTCTCTTAATACTTGCATGCGATGATTTAATGCACTTTGGAATCTGAACATGTGATAAGAAACAACTAAATTGAGCCTTATAAAATGGAAAAACTAAAATTTTGAAATAAGCCCTATAAACCGAAAAAGAAGGAGTAGACGTCTGTCTTGTCATTGCAGCTTTAAAGTAAGATTAATAGTAAAGCCGGTTGGTGGCTCTATAGTAGAGCCATGTCATCGATAGCCCGTATTTGAAAAAGCATGCATTCAATGCATGGATGCTGCCGAAGGCAAAGGGAAGTCACATGATTGGGTGGGAGGAGCTGAACGCCCGCCATAGAGCTCGCATGCAGGTTGCTTTTCCTCGTTGCCTGTGTTATCGCCTGGCGACACATGAACCCGGATTGGTCCTCTCTTCTCACTTCTCTCTCCTCCACATGTGATTCTGCTAACATGAAAGCTCTTATTTATTTATTTTTGAATGTTGGTAGTTGATCTACCAAATTCATTGATCACGGAGAAAGAGTAACAGGAGCGCCGAAGAAGGCAAAGACATCAACGAACATGAAAGCTCTTATAGCCTACTGAGTAGTCTCTATTATACCTACTGACTCACTCCTTTTACCATCACGTTAGGGGAAGGTGTCACTCTCCCGGTAAAAGAGGGGTGGCGAGTCATCTACATCCCCCACACGACAACTAACCCTCCACCCCCGTAGGCCGTGGCAAGGGTGTACTCCCTCCGTAGTTCTTACGCGTCGCTGCAGGAAGGCCCAGCAAGTCTTGTCGGGATGATGACATGGAGGGGGGCCTTGTCGGAGCAACACCCACAGAAAAAAATTGCAGCTTAGGGGCCTGCGAGCCTCGGTAATCTTGGCCTTCACAAGACTCTTCTCCTAGGGTGATGGTTTTGCCAGTGAGCGTCAACAACGCCGTCGTGGCCCATGCTTGTGAGACCCTGGTTCTCACCTTGTTGCGCTCAACTCAATCAAAGCCTGGTTGGACGCAGTTGAGAGCCAGGCACGATAGTAGATGACACAAAAAGGACAGGCCAAAAAACAAACATGTTTCGACTATCCTTTGCTACATAGTACGTTTCAACCAGAATACCAGACGCTTCAGTTCACAAATGGGGCAATCTGACTCGAGCGTATGTTAGTGGTGCCAACTAGGTTACAAGGACGAAAACTGTAACCATGGAGACGGGCTTGGGTGGAAACAAATGTATATGATGTAGAAGATCAAACACTGGCCAATCACAGCTTGTAAACCGGTGTGATCCCAAGCAGCTGGAAGCATTGTCGCATGACGACCGCCGTCGCTTCGCAAAGCAACAGCCGGCTTGGCTCCTCCGGTGACCCAACAACCTGTGAGTTGACAAAGATAGCGGTTACATCTCACGTGCTAAAAGGTGCTAGGCGTTGTCGCTGTGAAATGGGAGGCTGGCGCTTTTAGCCCTAGTAGGTGGAAGCTGCTGCCATTTTTTCACTTCGAATAAATTAAACCATGGAAATAGATAGAAGTATACCTGGCAGTTTGTGTAGAACCTTGTGAACATTTCGGATAAGTTGTATAGGTATTCACACAGAACACTGGGAAGGAGATTGGTGCATGCCTCTTCAACAATCTGACAGATAGAAGCACGTAACAAATCAATACAAAAGGAGGACAAGATCACACTTAATTAAGCCATACTCCTCATTAATGGTATTAGTTGTTGATGCATAGTAACATACAGGAATAACTTGAAAATAGAAGTGCCCCAATGCTTTACTAGGTGACTGGTCGGAACAAGCCACACACCAGCAAGCAACATACTTGGTGCGGCACTCTCCGCACTTGATGTGGAGGCACATCGTGCAGACAGTACCATCCTTATCATAGATGCCTTCACCAGCACACGTGGCTCAGTCGCCATTTAACCACCAATCTACTCCCTCCGTTTCTAAATACAAGTCCTTTTAGATATTTCAACACGGACTACATACGGATGTATATAGACATATTTTAGAGTGCAGATTTACTCATTTTGCTCCGTATGTAGTCCGTATTGAAATCTTTAGAAGGACTTATATTTAGAAACGGAGGGAGTAATTTTTTAGCACGGACAGGAATGGGGAGGTAAGCAAACGTGGATCTCAAGGGGATTTACAGCTTTACATGGCAGACACCGTGCCAGTGCGAGGAGCCTAGTATTTCTCCTTGATTCTAACTCATGACCTCCTACCAAAACCACCCCACAAGAGCACAATGGCCCATAAACCAGGTTGTTCTGATTTCATATCGAATTTGGCAAGTAATCCCTCTGTCCCATAATACAAGAGAGTTTTTGCCACTACACTAGTGTCAAAAACACTCTTATATTATGGGATGGAGGGAGTATTATCTATAAAACCAGTTTCCTAACGCATATCAAGTCAGATTTCCTTCAAACATACTTCCTCTGTATCAAAATATAAGACGTTTCTTGACACTGTTTTTTGATACGGAGGGAGTACTTAAGAATCTACAGAATATAACCACATCGAACTGGTTAGGCCAGCGGTTAGACGGGCAAACCGGCTTTGACCAGTTCACTACCCAGTCCTGTTTTTAAAACTATGGCAGAGACCTAGCCTGGGAGGGGTCCATCAGGAACGGGAGAAAGGACAAAAAATTAGGGGAGGAAAGAAGATGTACAACTTTTTGTTGACTCACAGCCAAGTCATCCAAACAGCTGCCCATGCGTCTACACATAATTGGCACTTCAGTCATATGATACAGCAAACTACCTTTTCATAGCCTAGGGCAAAAGGGGTTGAAGTAAAATGTATTGATCACATTGTGTGTAACACGCTTTATTTGCACCCAAAACAACTAGCACAAAATTCCTCAAAGAAAAAAACTAGCACAATCAAATGTTTACTAATCACTGTGCCTGCTCACAGTTCAACAATATTACCAGACTACAGTTGTGGCGCTGGATCAAATGAATAGATTTAGTTGCGGCGACAATCATACCTCTGCATAACGGATAAGATACAGTCCCAAGACACGCTCATCTGGATGAGCAAGAGAAATGTTCCCACTCTGAGAACAAAAAGTTAACAATTTAATCCATTTCCAATGGCCGAAAGAATTTCATGGTGATTTTATATAATTCACAGCATAAACATGAAAAGCTAACGAGTGTTTACCACTTTTAGCTCTTCTACATCCATGTTGGATTTTCGAATAATGGAGCAGATACGAGCATGAGCATACTGAAGATAGACAGCGGTATTTCCCTGTTCACAAAGGGAATAAGGATGTAAATAAAAATTAGGGAGAGTGAGCAAAAAGATGATGAGGTCAGAATAAAAGTTCCCTTCATGCAAAAGAAAGACGATACAGTAATGCCAGCAACAGAACAACAACAACAACAACAACAACAACAAAGCCTTTAGTCCCAAGCAAGTTGGGGTAGGCTAGAGGTGAAACCCATAAGATCTCGCAACCAACTCATGGCTCTGGCACATGGATAGCAAGCTTCCATGCACCCCATGCCAGCAACAGAAACACACAAAATAAATACAGTAAAAGACTTGGTGCAGAGCATTGAGCCATAGAGTAAAGACGTTGATCCATCCACAAAATGGTGGAGTTTGAAAATACCTTGTCACTTAGCATCTGATCAAAGCTGAACGTATAATTAGTCAGTCGGTTGTTCTTCAGATCCGCATACCTGCATTGAAGATAGAAAACATGACTATACAAATCGATTTAAGATTGAAAAGGTTTAATTATTCAACTTCAGTCCAACAAGTTTGTCCTCATAAAAGAAGAAAAACTGGTACATACTTGACAGCGCCATATCCTACTGCCTTTGAAGTTTGCTCTAGTTCCTCATCAGTCCAGTCAACAATTTTACCTGAACAAAACCATGATCATATAAGACTACTAAAAAACAAAACAAAGTTGTATAAGCGTACTGCTTACCATTTTCAGTGAGACGCTGGAGAAGTTCTGATTTACTTCGAGATTTAGCCTCATCAAGTAGGTCTCCCAACCGAACAACCTCAGTACTACGAGTTCGGAAGCGCTTGCCATCTGCTCCAAGAACAAGGCCAAACCCAACATGACTCGTTTTTGGGAACTTCTTTTCCTTTGGATCTGGAAGCCAACCAGCCATCCTGGCAGCCTGAAACAAAAACAATATGTAAAACAAAATCCCATGCAGAATATGGAATGAAGATAAAAACGGTTCTCTTGATCTGAAGAATTACTAGCATCAATACTGCAATAATATGTTTCTGGTAAAGATAAATGGCACTTTGTACATGCCTTGAAAAACATATCAAAGTGCTGCTGCTGACCAACATCTGTTACATATATTATCCATTCCGCCTTTTCAACATTAAGCCGGTACCTTCATAAAAGCAAGGACCAAGAAAAGGTGTAAGTTCATAAAATCCATCACTGCACAAACAAGACTGCATCAACTATGAAAATATATCCACTTTGCTTCTACAGAAAACAGCTAAATAGGCACTCAGAAAGATATGAAGGAAAAAACATGTATTATTTAGCTACTAACCAAAGAGCAGCCAAGTCTGTCGAGGCATAGTTGAAGCCACCATCTCTTTTAACGACTATCAAAGGAATTTGATGACCTTGAATGAATATTACACGAGCACCCTCACTTTCCTCGATCAAACCTTGGCTACTCAATTTCTCCAAGACTTGCGGAATATAGGGATTATAAAAGCTCTCCCCCTGAAAAGTGAGTAGATTAGCTTCGTCTCATCGATTTAACATAAATCGATAACCTTTTGGTTGCTTCCAGGGAAGAGACAGACAACATGTATATAAACATTCAAGCGATTGAACACAAAGGAACACAGATGCTTTGATCAGAGTGATTTTGGATGATAAAGCAAAGTATAAAGTGTTGCAGAAAAATGGCATCAACAAATACACAACAAAAAGGGATTTCTTAAGTCTTGAAAATATCTCAAGAAATATTGGCTGGTAATATGATAAGCGGAAGAAATTGGCCAAAAAAGACAGGGCTTTATTTAAATTTCTAAATTAAAAGGATCCATAACAACAAATAAGTGAAGCCAGATTGTAATAATTGGCAGCAATTGTAAATTTTGGATCTGCGAGGATTCTATGACAATGAGAAAATATGCCAGGGTGAGTAAACTAAGATTTAATATTTGACTACCAGCATGTTCTTCATTATGATTCAAGTGGGAGAAAGAAAATAAACACCTTTGAGCAAAAATGCTAATCAACAAACATTGCACAAGTTCCAGTTCAAGAAAGTACGATATTTCATGTTGCAATTTGCATACAACAAGGATATTATGAGGGCAAACATTCAAGAAACAGATGCGTTGGTTTGAACATTAGAAAAATCAGGTTGCAGCTACATTCCACGATACTTTATTGAGCAAACTTTATAGATCAGTAAAAAAAGCAACATTACCTTTTCTTCAAGTTGTACATCTAAGAGCTTGTAAACCTGGTCAAATTCGTTCCTGCTGATTTCACATATCTTTTTCCAAGCAGCACGATACTTCTCCTCCCCTCCCTACAATGTGTTATTGCTGAGGTTAGAAGAAAAAACACAATCTTCCCAGACTCCACATGCAAGAAGGTGAACTTACCTGTAACCGAACAACAGCTTGTTGGGCCCTATCTTTAAATTCTGCATCTTCATCAAATCTTTGTTTGGATGCTTTATAGAAAACCTGCAGCAAATAACCAAATTAATATATGACTATTTGTTTAATGAATCAGAAATTCTAACACAATGTAAAATAAGCACTTCTTTTGACTCTGGCAAAACAAGCACAATGCATGGAACAACACCTTACCTGAAGGTCACCAATAGCCTGGCTGCCAAGTTCCTCCCAATTCGGAAACTTTTCAAATAGAAATTCTATGAGCATTCCAAACTGCATGAACAAAGACCAAGATAGTTTAGTACACGAAGCAGAAATTCATTTAACTTAGAAGGCCTCCATATAAGCAAGCAAATTTTTCAGTTACTAGTGCCTACAGAACAAGCAGAAGTAGATATCTCTGCCAATGCAATATACCAAGACTCCAATTTCTCCAGCACGACACAAAATGGTTCGATCAAGTACAATTTCAACTGTGAGTATATTACAAAATACTCCCTCCGTCCAGAATTAGTTGACGCTCAAACGGATGTATCTAGACGTATTTCAGTGCTAGATACATCCGCTTGAGCGTCAACTAATTCTGGACGGAGGTAGTAGATAAGAAAGCTTAGATATTAATAGTACATCTAATAATTACAAGGTTATAAAATGTGATCAAAGAGCAATCGAAGAGCTAAAGGAAAACACGGTAACATTTGGATAGACAAATTAAATCAAATTAGATTGTGAAGTGGAAACAAGCTCTAGTTTATCAAACTACCGAAGTACAGAAAGTAGTGCACATTGCAGCAATGAATAGAGTACATCATAGTGTCATAGGTAGTAAGTAGATCTCATGGAAAACACCACCAACAGAACCTGGCAAATATTTGGTGGCACAGAAGAACCGCACCAAATGAACATTTTAATGCATCAATGTGTCAAAGGTACATGAAACTGGAAATGGATGCAGGCCCAAATATCATAACCTCACCCAGGAAAAAATAAGGATGAATTTATGTGCATAACAACAATATCTATGAACCAAAAGGGTTCAACAGATTAAGGGGTCATATGTTTGTACCCGTATTTTTCACCAGAAAAAAGAAACTACTAATAAAGAAACTAAAGGTCATAGCACCAAATCTATTACCTGTGTACCCCAGTCTCCCACATGATTGCGTCGGAGAACTTCAACATTTGAGAATTCAAACATGCGTGCTAAGGTGTCTCCGATGATTGTTGACCTTAGATGCCCAACATGCATTTCCTTTGCAATATTAGGGGATGAGAAATCAAGTACTACCCTCTTAACTGGCAGAATTGGTGCCCAAGTTGTGATGCCATTCACAAGCATATCTTGTATTCTCTGCAACAATGTAGTTCATTGGTGCTTAGCAGAAAGGAATTGTAGTATCAATGAATGCATGCAAAGCTTGCAGGTAAAACAATCTCAGGCAGACCTTAGCAACCCAGCTCTTGGATAAGACAATATTCACGAAACCAGGACCAGCAACAGAGGCTGATTCAATTACATCACAGGCAGGCAGGTTCTTAGCAATCGCCTGTGAAAAAATCAGCACGTATGAAAAGGTTGAAATGAATAAACAAGGAAATAATGGTAGTGGCACCTACGAAAGAACACTCCTACACGATGAGATCTTGAAGTAAACCACCAGCATCAAGAGAGTTAGGGTCATTCTAACCTGTCCGATTGCATTGGGGTTTTTGAAGCTTGTCCCGGATCCCTTTACTTTTGACCACAATCCCATTGCATTGTTGCTGCATACGGTTTAGGTAAAGTTTGAGCACATTGAAGGGATGCTAACATGAACAGGAGTCGCACATGTCCAGATCATCAAATAAAATAGACACATAGGGGACATACCACTGGTAGTCACCAAACTTTCCCGTGCAAACTTCAACTATCGGTTCTACATCCACTTCAGGCACTGTCGCACGGAGTGACAGAGCCACCAAGTTGGAGATCTGCTGCTTGACACTCCCAGCTCCCTGCAGGGCCTGGCAGTTTGAGACGCCACCATCACAATCAAGTAGACAGGGGCACACAACACAATCATCTCCAGAACCAGCAACCCAATACTCACCGGTGCTGCAGGTTCCTGGGCCGAGCCTGAGGCAGAAGTGGAGGTCTCGTCTCCCATGGTGGTGGAAGCGTAGCAGGCGCTCCTAGGTGACCTTGCGAACGGAGATGCTCTACAATGACCTAGCTAGATAGGCAGCACAAAGATAAGCAAGAAGGCCGAAATTAGGCCCCCCAAAAAAAGGAATTATTTAGTGAAGCTTGTCGAACTCCCGGATGGAATTTCCAAGATGCTATTTAACCGGATGCTACTTCAAGTGCAAGATGCTATTCAGTTCGACAGCCACGAATCCCCAAGCTACAATTTAAACCTAGCATGTCATAGGTTAACTTGAGCAGAGTACAGAATGAACCACAGCCTTTTTCATCCCCAATTCCAAAAGCTGTGGGTAAATTCGCATGCCCCCATACGCTGACTAGCAGATTCGTGCACAACAAATTTACTTTAGAGTGCTATAAACCGGAACCATGGGAAACTAAATTCAAACCAAACATCTCAAGCACCGTACACTCTAAACCCCGTAAAAGGTCCAGTAGACAATCCGCCATTCCCTGTAAAATCTTCGGAGCTCGCAGGCGCTGACCCAAAACCAAAAACCGCACCAAACTCAAACCCATGACCCCTCGGATTTCTGCTGCCAAATCAGACCTCGCAACTCCGGGCGACGCGGGGACCGCGCGGCGCCATGAACAACCGGAGCGGGGTGGAACCGGATGGGATTGGGGGAGGAGGAGAATTCGCGGGAGAAGCGAGGGCTCACCGAATCGCGGAGCAGCGCGGCGGGCGGAGACGAGGAGGAGTCGCGCGGGGGTAGGCGCCGCCACTACTGCAGTTGCTGCTGCGGCCGCGAGTGCCCGCATCTCGACCTCGTTCGCGAATAAATACGCTCCCACGCCGCGTGCAGGGAAAGGCTAGGCGAGGGTTTTCGCTCCGCCTTATCGGGCCCGTCAAGTCTCGACCTCTTTGGGGCGTGGATATGGAGCCAAACACAGCTTCCGCTCGAAATTTGCTTTGTTTTGACTTTTAAATTTCAGTCTTTGGGGCTTATTACGTGTGGATATGCCGAACAGGTTAAGATTTTTGAACAGATTTCGCTAAAAATCTGACGACATATGCCATATAAAAACATTTGATTTGACATGGTTAAAAATGTGACATCAGACTTTTAACATTCTTTTTCGAAAACAATAGACAAAGACATTGTGACATATATGTGTTTGTCTTGCAGTGTGTTTTTTAAGTGTGGATATACCAGCCGGTTAAGATTTGAACATGCATTTTTTTGCCTCCAAATACTATGCAACCGATGTTAGATTTCTAGCAATCTCGAGCGAATATGCTTGTCGCTGTTGGTCGAGGCACAATAATCTTGTCGTGGGCTAGTTGTCCTCATCAGCATTTTGTAACGCGTTGTATTGTATCATGCGCGAACGCCCGTGGCTGCGTGGTGGTGGACTAGATATCTGCTTCCAGAAGCACCTCTCACTTCCCGCTTGTTCCCTCCCCAATCTCGTCCCTTCTCATCTATCGACGGAGGTGGAGCGACGCGCGCGACGGTGGTGGAGGCACCGCCGCGGTAGCAGGCTCGAGAACGCAGAGGAGCAGATGACGTCGTCTAGGTGCAGCTGGTGCTGGGAGAGGCGACGTCGAGCCCGTTGCAAGTATCAAATCTTGTAGTGGTAAATATAATAAATAAAAGTAAAAGAAAACAACAACGAATTACAAGCTTTGTTTTAATATAAAGGTGAATGGACCCGGGGGCCAATTCACTAGAGGCGTCTCTCTCATAAATAACATCGATGTTAAACAAATTATTGTTGGCCAATTCATAGAAAAGCGCATAAGCATAATTAATATATAGGCCTCACGTCCAATGACAAGTAGACCGTAATCCAACTACATTTATTATTACTCCACCCCAAGACCGCAATCCTGCATGCATCTCAAAGTATTAAGTTCGTGACAAACAAAGTAACGCATTAAGCAAGATAACATGATGTAGACAGAATAAGATCAAGCAATATGCTCTGTAAGGGTATATTTCTCCCTAAGTGGTTTTGGCGATTGATGGCAATGCATTTGCGGACTAATCGTGTGCATTGAGCATTTCAGATATCTCATGTCTAGGCACAAGACGATTCGGTGTCCCTCGGAGCCTATCGAAGACGGCTGCTCTCTACGTTTCTTTTTGATGGATTTGAATCGTAGGAAAGTTGTACTATTAAGAGGGGGTACGCTTCAGAAAGGTTAGGGTGGAATCAACACGTACACATCTGTTTCTTTGTGTTGGGGAACGCGGTAATTTCAAAAAAATTCCTACGATCTCGCAAGATCTATCTATGTGATGCATAGCAACAAAAGGGGAGAGTGTGTCCACGTACCCTCGTAGACCGAAAGCGGAAGCGTTATGACAACGCGGTTGATGTAATCGTATGTCTTCACGATCCGACCGATCTTAGCACCGAACGTACGGCACCTCCGCGATCAGCACGCGTTTAGCTCGGGGACGTCCCTCGTACTCTTGATCCAGTTGAGGCCAAGGGAGAGTTTCGTCAGCACGACGGCGTGGTGACAGTGATGATGAAGTTATCGGCGTAGGGCTTCGCATAAGCACTACGACGATATGACTGAGGTGTGTAACTGTGGAGGGGGCACCGCACACGGCTAAACAATATCAACTTGTGTGTCTATGGGGTGCCCCCCTCCCCCGTAAATAAAGGAGTGGAGGAGGGGAGGGTCGGCCCTCTATGGCGCGCCCTGGAGGAGTCCTACACCCACCGGGAGTAGGACCCCCCCCCTTTCCTAGTTGGACTAGGAGAGAAGGAAGGGGGGAGAGGGAGGAAGGAAAGGGGGGGGGGTTGGCCCCCCACCCAATTCGGATTGGGCTTGGGGGGCGCCCTCCACCTGGCCGCCTCCTCCTCTCTCCCACTGTAACGCCCAAGATGCGGCTATATCTCCCACGTGTCGAGGCACGATTTAGAGGCATAACCGCATTTTGGTATGGGCGTTACAAGTTGGTATTAGAGCCAGGTTCTAGGCATGTAGCAAGATTTATAGGTAAAAGATGAACATTAAAGGAGAAGGTAAAAGGTGCACTTGCAAAATGAAAGAAAGGAAAGGAAGGAGAAGTGGTGATGATGCAAGATTTATGCATTGAACATGCAACAACATGATATGTATGAAATCACACCATGCACATGATGGGGATGGAATGCAAAATGACAAGAGGCACAAATGCAATATGGCAAGCTAAACATGGCAATGAAAAGAATAAACCACAAAACAAAACAAGATGAGGCCAAACATGATTGAACCCAAAAGGAATTGGATGAAGGTCAAGTTGATATATTGCCAAATTGGGACATGTTACATCTGGGGTGTTACAACTCTCCTCCACTACAACAGGATCTCGTCCCGAGATCTAGGACTGAAAGAACTCTGGATATTCGGAACGAAGGTGATCCTCGCGCTCCCAGGTGGCTTCTCGGTTGGAGTGCTACGACCACTTAACTTTCAGGAATTTGATTGACTTGTTGCGAGTTTTGCGCTCGGTTTCTTCAAGAATGGCAACGGGATGCTCATGACAAGACAAATCTTCTTGGAGGTCAATTTCTTCGAAGTTGATAGTACGCTCGTGCGTCTTGAAGCACTTGCGAAGCTGTGACACGTGAAACACATCGTGCACATTTGTGAAGTTGGATGGAAGCTCAAGTTGATAGGCGAGGTCGCCTCTTTTGCCAATGATCTTGAAAGGACCCACGTATCTCGGGGCAAGCTTCCCTTTGATACCGAAGCGTCGAGTGCCTTTAATTGGAAAGACACAGAGGTAGACATGGTCTCCGATCTCGAAAGCCAAGTCATGGTGCTTGCTATCATAGTAACTCTTTTGGCGCGATTGCGCGGCTTTGAGGTTTTCACGGATGACTTTACACATTTCTTCAGCATCTGTGATCAAGTCATTGCCAAGAAGTTGGCGTTCACCAGTCTCGGACCAATTGAGAGGAGTACGACACTTTCTGCCATAAAGAATTTCGAATGGAGCCTTGCCCGAACTTGCTTGGCAGCTGTTGTTGTAGGAGAACTCAGCATATGGAAGACAATCTTCCCACTTCATACCGAAAGAGATGACACAAGCTCTGAGCATGTCTTCGAGTATTTGATTGACTCTCTCGACTTGGCCACTTGTTTGAGGATGGAAAGCTGTGCTGAAGCGAATGTTGGTGCCCATGGCCTTCTGGAAGGAGTCCCAGAACTTAGAAGTGAAAATGCTTTCGCGGTCTGAAGAGATCAATTGCGGAATACCGTGCAAGGAGACAATTCTGGAGGTGCATAGCTTTGCCAACTGAGCTGTTGTGATAGATTCTTTGATTGGAAGGAAATGAGCCACTTTTGTAAGCTTGTCGATGACAACGAAGATAGCATCATTCCCATGCTTGGACTTGGGAAAGCCAGTGACAAAGTCCATTTCGATATGATCAAACTTCCATTCTGAAATAGCAAGAGGTTGGAGGAGACCAGCTGGTCGTTGGTGTTCTTCTTTCACCCTTCGACAGACATCACATTCATTCACGAATTGAGCGATCTATTGCTTCATTCGAGTCCACCAATACGACTGCTTGAGGTCATGGTACATCTTTGAACTGCCCGGATGGATGGGAAGAAGAGAATTGTGCACTTCGTTCATTATAACCTTCCTTAGATCACCTTTAGGAACCACAATCCGGCCCTCGAAGAATAAGGTGTCCTTGTCATCAATGCGATAGCACTTGTATTTGGTTAAGCATTTGGCAACACCATGTTTCACCTTCTTCACCATGGTATCAAGGAGTTGTGCCTCACGAATTTGGTCTTCCAAAGTTGGAGTGACTTGAAGGTTGGCAAGAAAACCTTGAGGAACAACTTGGAGGTTGAGCTTGCGGAAAGCTTCACAAAGATCCGGTTGGAATGGCTTGAGAATTAAGCTGTTGCAATAAAGCCTTTCTACTCAAGGCATCTGCAATCACATTTGCCTTGCCTGGAGTGTATTCGATGCATGGATTGTACTCTTGGATCATTTCGACCCAACGAGTTTGTCGGAGGTTGAGGTTGGGTTGAGTGAAGATATACTTGAGGCTCTTGTGATCGGTGAAAATGTCCACTTGCCTTCCCAACAAGAGATGTCTCCATGTTATTAATGCATGGACAACTGCCGCCAACTCAAGATCGTGAGTGGGGTAGTTCCTTTCATTTGGCTTCAACCGACGAGAAGTATAGGCCACAACTTTCTTCTCTTGCATTAACATAGCACCGAGACCTTGCAACATGGCATCACGGAAAACTTCATATGGCTTGGATTCATCAGGAGGAGTTAGGACAGGAGCTGTGACGAGTTTCTCTTTGAGAGTGTTGAAAGCAACATCACACTCAGGAGTCCAGGAATACTTGACATGCTTCTGGAGGAGGTTGGAAAGAGGCTTAGCAATCTTTGAGAAGTTCTCAACATATCTTCGGCAATAGCTTGCAAGCCCAAGGAAACTGTGGAGCTGCTTGACATTCTGAGGAGGCTCCCAGTTGACAACTGCAGCAACCTTTTCCGGATTGACAGAAATGCCCTTGGCGGAGATGATGTGACCAAGGTAAAGAACTTCATCAAGCCAAAACTCACATTTAGAGAACTTTGCATAGAATTGATGCTCTCTCAGCTTGTCGAGCACCAATCACAAATGCTTGGCATGATCCTTTTTATTCCTGGAGAACACTAAGATATCATCGAGATACACTAGGACGAATTCATTTGTGTAAGGGTTGAAGATGAAGTTCATCATGCGAGAGAATGTTGGAGGAGCATTGACAAGGCCGAAAGACATGACAGTATATTCAT